GATTTATTGAACTATTATTATATCAAACATCGTTTCAGATCACACCGAATAGCTAGTTACAGATGATTGTACAATTCAGGTAGAAAAATCTGCGAAATTTTAAAATGATGGTATATTTAAAAAGATTCTATGAATAAGGAAATTCAATATCAACAATCATTTAATGATAAGCGGAAGCTCAGCAGATACTAATAGATTGAAAACTTAATAATATATGAAAGAATAAATTCAAGTGTGTTTGACAAACCGATATGCTTCCAGCTATAACGATTTCACCTTACTCGGTAAACGGAACGAAGATCAGTTATTCAGCTACACAATAGGCTACTCCAATCCGATCGTTCCAGGTCCCACTAACTGGAGAAAGAAGTCTTGATAAAACGTAAAGAATGTATTCCAGAGGCAACTAGTAAGTACGAGGTTCACAAGCACACAACTCAAGCTTATTCATACAATGATAAAATGACCATGGTGAGAGCCACAAAATAGCGTATCAAAATAATCCGTCAACCAATGACAGTCAAAGATTTTCCTAGTGCGAAATGTAAACTGAAAGTTAACTAAGCGTCTTTGGCGCGAAAACACAAAAATTAAAAATTTCAGAAATTAATTAGAAAATTAGGACCTTTTTTAAGTGAGTTCTGGGTGAGAAGACTGAGGCAGGCTCAATAGATTGTAATTGGCAAATTTACACTCTTAGTCAATTAAAAACGATAACATTACATTGAACACTCCATTTGCACACCATCTTTGAGTCCTGACTTCCAACGCTCCAGCCTTCTTCCATTCCTGCTGTTGCTTCCTTTACTTCCTGTCGGTGCTCTATTTCTTTCTTGCTTTTGCTCTATTTGCTTTCCGTTTTCCTCTTCTGACCGTAAGACTTCTTCTTTCACGTCCATTCTTATACTACTTATATCGTTCGTATAAGTAGCACACACCACATGGGGACCTCATCTCCTCAACACAAATCATAGGACCCAATAAGAGATTTCTCATGAATGAATTACTGTTCATATATTCAGTATACTACTACTTTGTTATTCTATGGTCAGTGTCATCTTAGTTTTGACTTGATCTTTATTCAAATAGGACAGAAATCACCAGTTTAAAGGTCATTCAAATGTGACTAATATTTGTATCAATAGTGAAGTTAATAATTAATGATCAAATATTTCATTAAATCTATCAGTAAGTTTTAAACACTTATTTACTTCTAACTAGTTAAATTAAAGTGTTCATGTAAATTTAGTTGACCAAACTGGTATACCTTCAGCTATTTCTGTTGGAAAACGCTCTATTAATTACAATATATTTCCTTAGTTATATTATATTCAGTAGTTTAGATTCTAATGAATAACTTTTTCTATCAAAGTCATATTATAAACCTGGAAGCACTGGACGGTAGTTAAGTCCTAGTATACAACTCATCAGTAGTGTGCACTTACAACTCCCACCCTCAGGAATCGAACCTGGGGACCTGCGGTCTTGCTCGTGAACGCTTAAACTCTAAACCACTCAGCTTGCATCCAATGATGTTAATGTGTAAATCCGATCAATCCACTGTCTTCCGTGGGCACTGCTCTAAACCCGAACAGGGTTGAAATCCATAGGTCACGACTTCTCACTAGAACCCAGAGAAACTTCCTCATTGTATTATTATTATTTTAAACACGAACTTTCATCAAGTTGAATTAAAAAATTTTTTATCAAATGAATAGTTTTAAATCTTACATACATGTAATGAACGCTAATATCACCTTTCATGTTAAATATTTCTTCAAAGGACTACATTATAATAGTGACTAGTATATGAACGTGGTAATCAGTAAAATTACATATTCATTATACTGTTTTAAAAAAATTGAAACTTTACAAACCTCACGTAAAAAAAAACAATGTAAACTTTTTGTGAATTTCATACAGAATGCATTATAGATCTATTGAAAGAACATGTGTTTTTATTTATATTTAAAACTTACAAACAAACAAAAAAAAGAGGAGGAGAAGAAAATAAATCATCTAAGACAAATAAAGTAGAATTCAGGCAAAACATAATAAATATGAATGAATTCAATGTGTCAATTTCCATCTGTTCAAATTGGTATAGGATAGACATTTAACAAATAAATTAATGTTTATATATATATATATATATATATATGCATAGTGGATACATATGTATTAGTGAAAGTGAAGTACGTGCACTTTTTCATTCCATGTTGATGATGATGATAATGATAATGAGGTATTGATTATGAATGATGACTTCATGCTGTGATCAATGTTCTCTTCTTGTTAATAGAGAATTACTTGATTTTGTTTGTTATTAAGAAAATATTGATCAGTTGAATAAATAATTGTAATCCGTTAGAGAACGAGTAACAGTCAGTCGGTAAGTAAGTAAGTAAGTAAGTAAGTAAGTAAGTAAGTGCATAAGTAAGTAAGTAAGGTGTGTAAGTAAGTAAGTAAGTAAGTAAGTAAGTAAGTAAGTAAGTAAGTAAGTAAGTAAGTAAGTAAGGTGTGTAAGTAAGTAAGTAAGTAAGTAAGTAAGTAAGTAAGTAAGTAAGTAAGTAAGTAAGTAAGTAAGTAAGTAAGTAAGGTGTAAGTAAGTAAGTAAGTAAGTAAGTAAGTGCATAAGTAAGTAAGTAAGTAAGTAAGTAAGTGCATAAGTAAGTAAGTAAGTAAGTAAGTAAGTAAGTAAGTAAGTAAGTAAGTAAGTAAGTGCATAAGTAAGTAAGTAAGTAAGTAAGTAAGTAAGTAAGTAAGTAAGTAAGTGCATAAGTAAGTAAGTAAGTAAGTAAGTGCATAAGTAAGTAAGTAAGTAAGTAAGTTCATAAGTAAGTAAGTAAGTAAGTAAGTTCATAAGTAAGTAAGTAAGTAAGTAAGTGCATAAGTAAGTAAGTAAGTAAGTAAGTAAGGTGTGTAAGTAAGTAAGTGCATAAGTAAGTAAGTATGTAATTAAGTAAGGTGTGTAAGTAAGTAAGTGCATAAGTAAGTAAGTAAGTAAGTAAGTAAGTAAGTAAGTAAGTAAGTAAGTAAGTAAGTGCATAAGTAAGTAAGGTGTGTAAGTAAGTAAGTAAGTAAGTAAGTAAGTGCATAAGTAAGTAAGTAAGTAAGTAAGTAAGTAAGTAAGTAAGTAAGGTGTGTAAGTAAGTAAGTAAGTGCATAAGTAAGTAAGTAAGTAAGTAAGTAAGTAAGGTGTGTAAGTAAGTAAGTAAGTAAGTGCATAAGTAAGTAAGTAAGTAAGGTGTGTAAGTAAGTAAGTAAGTAAGTAAGTAAGTGCATAAGTAAGTAAGTAAGTAAGTAAGTAAGTAAGTAAGTAAGTAAGTAAGTAAGTAAGTAAGGTGTGTAAGTAAGTAAGTGCATAAGTAAGTCAGTAAGTAATTAAGTAAGTGTGTAAGTAAGTAAGTGCATAAGTAAGTAAAAAAGTAATTAAGTAAGTAAGTACGTAAGTAAGTAAGTAAGTAAGTAAGTAAGTAAGTAAGTAAGTAAGTAAGTAAGTAAGTAAGTAAGTAAGTAATTGAACGAATAAAAATCAGGAAGCTTTGGATAGTTAGTTTACTGTACTTTAGAACTCATTGGCTATCGGGACGCACATAACCTTACATGTGATAGAACGATTATAAACTGATATCGTTAGATGGGCAAAGCTATTTTAAACCACTGAGTCAAGTTAATAAACGAGAGTTTTCAAAAGGACAGAAGTTTTACTAAATGAATTTCGAGATGAATTCAGTATATTTTCTGAACGATAAAAATGAGCTTTATTTTTGTAATCTTTGAAATAGCACTTTAAGAAACTAATTTGACTGTTGTGATTGATCTATTATCTCTCGATTGTTATGAAACATGTTGATATAGAAAAGTACACTACTGACCCATACATTGTGTTTATTTTGAGTCAGTTAGATGTACATCTTAGAACAATGCTCCTTAAAATGACTGTTTAACAAAGGCTAGAGTATTTAATATATTTAGTGCATCATATTTCATACATCCGATTTATTCAGTAATAGGATTTTGAAAGTAGTATATTGTATTTCTTCTCAAATTTTTAATCAGATGGTCTTGATCAATTAAAGTCAGTAAACAGACAGATAATAAGCAAGTAAATGATATTATTATTTGAAAAATACGAATGTATCCACTATCCATCGTTTCTCACCTTTCCAAATATGTCATCCTAAAGAAAAGCCTATTTAAGCATTCTATTTAGAGAACTGTATACTTAGTTCTAAAAACCAGTCATTAAAAATAAACTTGAATATAGATTTACATGCATATAATTCATGCTTTGAGAGAGGAAACTATTACAAAACACCTTGAACTTAGGTTTCTCAAATGAATGACATAAGGTATCTATCTAATTTTCAGAATAATCATCGTATTTTAAAGATTCAAACCCTCCAATTCATATTGTCATGCTCGTAAGCTGATATGCTTGAAACTATTACGAGTTCACCTTCGTTCGTAAATGAGAACGAGACAAAGGATTCAGTGACGCGATGGGCTAATTTAATCCGAGCGTCCTAAGGCCCCTTTAAGTAGAAGAAGTCCTGATGTGGAGTAGAAAGTGTGTTTTACAAGCACCCAGGAAATATGAGGTCTACAGGCACACAAACTAAGCTTATTTATACATGATAGAAACGTCCTTGGGAGAGCCACAAAGATAGCGTTCTGAAATAATACATCGACCAATGACAGTTAGGGATTTCCCGAGTTGGGTATGTAACCTCAAGGTCAACTGGTCGGCCCATAAATAACCTGTACGTAGTGAGTTCTGAGGATCTAACGTCTAGAAACACATATATCTTACAGAGCTTTTGACACTAAATTATTGAGTATGACAGTGGCTTCCATAGTATACTAGCCAGTTATTCAAACACAGTGTCTACACTACAATCCCAAGATCCAATGAATTCCAACAACATTCACAACCCGATCAATGTCTTAATTCACATTGGTAAATCAATAAACGTACAAATTAAAAAAAAAACAGCTTAGATTGTTGTTATCATACTTACCTTTATCATCGTGCTTAATTTTATATGATAAGTTAAATTTACATAATTAATCGATGTATTTATATTAAGTAAACCGGTTAAAATTTGTTCATGTCCAATTTCACAATCGACTGGTAATAAATCATGATACATTTCCCATGAGAATGATGATGTTCGATTATGATTATTATTATTGTAAGTATGAATTAAATTATCTTGACGATTGATTAGAATTGGTCTTTTCATCATCATCGTCGTCATCATTGTCATCATCGATAATTGGTTACGTTGATTTAGATTATTTAAAAATTTTGTTTCAGTAATACATATGCCTAAAATAAAATGACATTGATTAGCATTGCTAGATGTAAAGCATTTCTCTGTAAATATTGATTTGTTTGAATGATTTGTTAAATTTAATGTTAATTGTTCAATGCGTAAATCAAATACACTTCTTGTGAAGAATTTCTAGAAAGGGAAAATAAAAACAAATGAAAGAAAGATAAAACGACCATAGTTCAAGGTCGAATGCATGAAGTATTGAGTTTATAATAACAACTGGAATTGTACATTGAAAACGTAGCACGTAAAGTTTGAAATTGTTTAATTGGTTATTAGAAAAACTTTGAATTAGACAAGTATTTTGAGTTATTGCCTTCTTTTATTTTTTTCAAATAGTAAGATTCATTGTTCATTCTATTTTTCACTTTTCTTATCGAGAATCAGAATGAAGAAAATAACGGGGAAAAATAAATTATTTTCAAAGTCGTGGATTAAAACTTTGAATATTTTCTATGTTTGCACTGATCCGACCTGTCCAGCGATAGTCAAATAACCTAGTGATAAACATTTTAGGAGAGTTATTCATTCAGTACATATAAAGGTACACTGGAGTTTCAGCTAAACGTTTGTTCTGGAAGTGTTCAAGGCCAACATGAAATTTAAAGGTGATCTGATAATTTAAGACTAGCTGGAGGGATAAATTAATAGTGGATGAAATAATAGGCTTGATTACAAAACAAAATGTGTACTGCTCAGCAGTTCGCTCCGTCTTATGGATGAAAAACATGGCCAGTCAGAGTAAAAGATATTCGTAGGTTATTAGTATTCGATTAAAGATGTCTTCGAAGCATTGATAGAATATCCTGGGACTACCGAGTAAGCAATGCTGTCGTTAGGAAATGAGTACTAGTTAGATATGGAAGATCAATAGATGAGGTTTTGAAACTTGATCAGTTGAGGTGGTTGGAATATGTGTTACGAATGCTTAACCACCAGATGCCTCGACGAGTAATGTTTTGTGGACTAGGAGTAGGTTGGGTGAAAGCGGACTGAGTCATGTTAGTAGATGTAAGGTACCTGGTTGGGGTCCGCGAGACGAAAGTCAACAATGGCTAGAGACTTTGAACGAACGACATGGCTCAAAATCGTTTGCAATGGCGCAGGTGCATCCACTCGTTGTGTTCTATGAAATTCTAACCTTCTGAATTCCTCATCATCTCTATCTTTCTCATTCTAACTTTATCTCACTGAAATATGCTTCTTGAATAATATCTTCGAACCCTAATCTTCTCCATTACTGCTAATACTTTTACTATCTCTACCACTGTTGGATTTGAACTGACAGTTGCATCTCTGTGCTGATGCGGTATGACAACCTGAACTTATGTACTCAAGAACGAAGTTCAACGTTGTAACTAACTGAATGACATAACAAAATGATACTCACCATCGTATTTCCACTTTCTATACTTTTTAAAGAACTTAAGAGAAAGAACTTTTATTTAAGCAGTAATATAATTATCCCGAATAAGCTGTGGAAGTGGATAGGACACAAACTTCGAAAAGCACGCCACTGCGTTACAAGACAAACCCTCTCTTGGAACCCTCAATGTAAAAGGAAAAGAGGAAGGCCAAAGAACGCATTATGCCGAGAAATCGAGAAAGATATGAGGAAAATGAACAAAAATTGGAAAGAACTGGAAACGGAAGTCCAGAACAGAGTAGGTTGGAAAAATCTGGTCGGCAGTCTATGCTCCATTGGAGGTAACAGGTATAAGTTAAGTTAAGAAGTCGTGCTAAAATTATCTTAGAGATCTGTCTACTACTACTTCTAACTTTTATGATTTCAAACAAGTAATCACATGAACTTTCCAAATCGTAGTATCACTATGTTGGTAAGCTAACAATTAAA